GGAGAAGAGGAAAGAAAAGGAGTGTTTCATGACTGCACAGTGATAGGAAACAGCAAGCTATTACTTTCCCCTTAGGGATTCTCATATATTTTGAGTCATTGTGTGTTGTTCACTGTTAGCATTCTTGGCCACCCTGGCACCACATTGTACATAGTCTGAGTAATTCAGCTACCTTCCATAATGCCATCTATATTTAATGCTTCAGATGCTGTGCAGATTGGTTTAAGATGGTAATTTTCTGTCTGCACGTTTGATATCTCCGAAATACTGAACTGCTGCTGATAGAGATTCAGCATTGGAGGTAGGAACATGGTAAAAAACAGAACAAAACATACACACGTACACTCTTCCCTCCCATATAAAGAAATTAGCTACCCACTTATGTGCAGGCAAGAAGTTGGTTCTCATGAATGAAACAAGCTTAGCACTGGAGAGTGATGTTTTGTTTCTCTGCAGAGCAGCTCCAGGGCTGATGCTGGAAACAAGCAAGCTGTCTTGCATTGTTTGCCTAAAATACATAGATTTAGCTCTGGAGATACCACCTGCGGGTGCATTGTGTCTCCTTTCCTAGCTTCTCTCTGGAAATGCCAATAATGAGCTACCAGTGATGTCTACCTGAACCTGACCTGAACCTATCCCAGTATTCCATCTTTTAGAGACCACCTGGCAGCCACCGTGACAAATGGCTGTGGTTGCCTCTAGGCCAGTTGAGCTTGCCAGTTGAGACTGGTGCCAGTGAAGCTCTGGGTTGTGTGGATGCCTTGCTGCAGGATACTCAGAGTTGTTCCTGTGAAGTACCTCATTGACATTGCACAACATTCTCCGGACCCCTTTCATGTACCAGTCAGCCCTGGACACACTTCTCTAGTGATTTCAGAAGCTGACTTCTTCCTTTTTTCTTACTCATCTATCCTGGAGAGGCTCTTTCAGGGTGCAGTGTTTCACATTCTCTGACTTTTCTCAAAAGTCCTGTGCTCACAACCACTCCGCCTAAATCATTTTTTTTTTCAGGTCAGATTTTGTATGGATTGTCACAGAATTACAGAATCACAGAATGGTTAAGGTTGGAAGGGACCTCTAGTGAGTCCCTGCTCCAGCAGGGACACCTAGAGCATGTGGCACAGGGTGGCATCCAGGCGGGTTGGAAGATCTCCAGAGAAGGAGACTCCACAACCTCTCTGGGCAGCCTGTTCCAGGGCTCTGTCACCCTCACAGGAAAGTTCTTCCATATGGAGGTGGAACTTCCTGTGTTTCAACTTACACTCGTTACCCTTCATCCTGTCACCGGCCACCACAGAGTAGAGCCTGGCCCCATCCTCCCTACAATCACCCCTCAGGTACTTGAACATGTTGATGAAATCTCCTCTCAGCCTTCTCTTCTCCAGGCTAAACAGGCCCAGCTTGCTTAGTCTTTCCTCATATGATTATGTGCTCTGGCAGAAGGCTACAGCCAACCTCTTCGCTTCCCACCATGGACACGTGCTACAGCAAAGATAGTAGATTGCAGAATTCCATCTCCACTAGGAGATGCTTCTTTGCCTCTTGTCACTGGGATCTTGGCTCAGGGAATAAATTTTTGCATAACTCGTAGCAGACCCCCAGAGACCCAAGAATTACATGAAACTTCAAAAACACTGATCTGTATGACAACAGCAAAATGTTGTAACCAAGGGTGTAACCAAGAAGTCTTTCCTTTCCCTGAGAACTGAGGAAATGCTGATGACAGAGAATGCCATATCTTTGCCATAAAGTTTGGGGATACCAGGCCTTCGGAAAATGGCCAGAGATGTGAGGTGAGATTGAAGGAAGGAATATTTTGATAGCAAAGGAATATTTTCTGCTGGAAGAAGCTCCAAGACAAGCCATCAGGACAAAACAGGTGGAAACAGGGTAGTAAATGTTGTGTGTTGGTGAGTAGGGGGAAGGTCTGGCAGAAAGCTAGATGACATGGTGAAGAAGGAGAAACAGGATTAGATAGCACAAGCAGTAAAAAAGCAAATCAGACTCATTTTTAATTTTAATTGATTGTAATATACATTTGCAAGTAATCTGAAAGGCAGAAAAAAGTCTATAGGATCAATTTTTAATAAGCACATTCATGTGAAAAACAAAATAATTCTGAATAATTAAATATCAGCATCCTGGCATCATTCCTTACAATGTTTATGGAGTGGCTGTCTGTTTGCAAGTGGGCATGACAACAGTCCCTTTTATGAAACTTGCTTCATTTTTCCCAGTATAAGATCCGTATTTGATTTGCTTTTAATTTTGCCCAACTTTGTGTTTTTGTGCCAAATTTTTTCATGCCAGTCATCTGTCTCTGATATTTTTTTGAGTCAAAGCTACTTTGTCATTTCTCAAAATAAGAGTAAAAGGAAAAAATAAGTTGCTTGACAGGTATAATTTTCAGTTATAACTTCTTCATAGTGGCATCAGCCACCCAGGAAAAAGAGATCTCAGCACCTGACCCATGCAAAATGAGTAGGTTCTGCAGCTTTCAGAGAGGGAAGGAAAAGAAATAGAGGTCAAACGTCCATGGAACGGCATCAAGCAGTTGCAGTTCTGACATTTGGGGGGTTCAATGGGAAGGTCCCAGTGCTGTGAAACCTTACATGTGACTGGGAATGTGGTGCTGTAGTTATAGATACTGCCTTTTCTAGCCCCATGAAAAAAGAGACCTTTCAAGGTCCTTCAAGGTCATAGCCTGTGCATATACAAGCCTTAAATAGTTGACAATTTAGCCAATTTAGCCATTGAAACGTGGAATTTTTGTCTCATATCCAGTGCTTCCCAACTCATACTGTGACCAGAATATTTGCAGTTTTCTACCATGGGGAAATTGAGCACATTGGATGTTTTCCTGCTGCTCTTGCCTGATCTAGAGCCAAGTACAAGGATGCAGAGCAGTGAGAAGCTCTCCCTGTGCTTTCAGTAACTGTCTTCTACTTTCTGCTGAGCTCAGGCAGTTTTGGAAGTTGTCTCCTCAAACACAAAACAGATGAAGTCAGGATCAAAGGAAGAGGGATATAATTGGACTAAATCACAGTGCGAGATGTGAGATTGGAGCAGTGGCAGCTTGAGAGCTGATCTGCTGTACATAGGAATTGTCCATGGGAGAACCATGGTAGGGTAGGATAGGGAAGGGAGTTTCAATCTTACTGACAGCTATGTAACAAGGTCACCCTGGAAGTGAGACTTGATCTCCCATTTACGACAGGCATTAAATAATGGAAAGACTTTCCTTAGCAGAGGGCTTAAAACTCACTTGAGGTCTTCTAGGTGAGATTTGATATTGTTCAGACGGGTGGGCCTTAAGATGTCTCCAGAAACATGAGTAAAATCTCTGAAAAAAAAAAAAGATGATGATAGCAGGTGGTGATGTCTCCTCAGTTCTGAATGTCCATTCAATCTTTTCAGAAGTTGTGGCGCAAACAGGTCCTGCGCAGTCATGCAGTCCTTCCTGTACTCCCTAATCCTAGCAGCACTGCACTAAGGCAGTGATGATTAAATCTCATGCCTCAAGATTTTCTGTTTTTCTTTCTTTTTTTTTTTTTCTGGAGAACTAATGAAGGGCTTCCCCCAGTACATAGGTGGCTAGATGCATTTACAGCAAAACACTTCTTCACTGTGAGGGTGGTTGAACTTTGGAACACGCTGCTGAAAGAAGCAGTGCAGCCTCCACCAGCTGGGCTGTAGAGTGTTTAAGATACAATCAGACATATACCACCATGGATTTTTACTTCAGTAGCTGAATGACTTGACTCCAACCATCAAACTGGTGTTCACTTATGCCAGGAATACACTACCAATAGCTGTGCCAAGCTCTGAAGAGCCAAATGTTTCCAAGCTATTCTTAAAACAACCTTGGTGCTGCAACAGAGACTGAGTCCTTTGATGCCTGAGACAGTGTGCTGGGACAGGGCTTCCATGTGTTTCTTGGTTACTGGTCTGTGACTGACCAAATGCTAAACACCTGCAGCATCAGCCTGAGTCAAAGTAATGGAGTGTCAAGCAACCCGTAAAGTAAGCTTTGGATGCTTGCAAAGTGAAAGATCAGTAAGCCAAGTTATTAAAGCAAATGTTCATTCGAGTAATCTTTAAAAAAGAGTGTAAGCAGAGCAATATGTTGCTCCAGCAATTTAGATTTTCCATTTTTGATTATGAAAGGAAAGCACCATAAACCCCCCTTTTAATCTCTCGGTTGTCTTCTCTTGAGCAGTGTCTAACATACATCTCAACGATACAGAAATATATAATTATTTTGGAATTAATTAAATCTACTGACCTGCTCTTGAGAGTCACAATAAATTTGTGCAGAACATAGAGCTATTCAAGATGAGAGGCTATGGACTTCTAAATATGCCCTTACATTCCAGAAATTATCTTAATAAAAATAGCTTTTGGTCATAGCTTTTTGTTTTGATGATGCAGATCAGCAGACTTCATGGCTGATATATTGATTGTAGGGTGTCAGCAATACTGATCTAATAAAATAACACATTAGAAAGAAAAAAAGGAAAGCTTTCTTCTTGGCAACTCAGTGTGGAAGCTTTCCAGAATATTGCTTTGCACAGAATGAAAATGGCTTTGGGCCAATGACTAATTATATTAAAGGACTGTGCTTTTAAATTATTTATGTACTGTAGTGTTTACCCTGGTATTATTAAAACCACGTATACTTCTACAAATAAGATTTTGGCTCAGATGAATGTGACAGTCCCTCTGTGGGTGATATACTGTACCAAGAGTTTGTGCTTTAATGTAACAAATAGCTTAATGTACGTTAACAGATGCATTACTCGTGGAGCACTGCTGCAGAAGGAGATGCAGATGAAAATAATTTACCTCTGGTCCATTTAGGCACAGCAGATTATGCAACAATAATAAATGTAGGAGCATCCTGCAAAGCATTGTTTGAAATTAGGATTTTATCGAACTGTGGATTTAAATTCTCTTTGGATCCAGACTGTGCTAACCACAAACTTCTTTTATTTGTGCAGCAATTGCTGAGCATACAGGAAGAATTGAATAACAAAAAATCCGAACTGGAGCAAGCCAAGGAAGAGCAAACGCACACACAAGCAATGCTTAAAGTCCTACAGGAACAGGTGAGTGGTTTTGGTGGGAGATAATGGCTGGCTTAGGTTTACTGAGGAGGACTCAAGGCTTCATCTCCAAAATTCGTAGGAATCTGACCACTGACTATGCTGACCACTATGGGGAAGACATAACCATATGATGCCCAATTAGCATTTGTGAATGCAGCTGAGGGTAACTTAAGAGTTTAAGAAAATAGAGTGAAAATGGATCCTTATTTTACACTATGCAATATTGAATTTCACGTATTGAGTATTGTCTTCCTCCACATATATATCAGTGAAATGTATTTTCTGTCTGGGGACAAATGTAGGGAGAGTTAAATATACCAGAAAAGTAAAAATATTTCAAACAAATCACATATTTCTTTTAAGGCTATTATTGAATAAAAATAGCTTAAAATGTCCTGTGTTATCTCTGCAGATGCAAATACACTAAAAATTTTATTATGATGATATTAGAAAAAAAAATTCCTCAATACACTTATTTAATGATTGAGGAACAAGTTTCTGTAAATCAGATTATTTTATTTTAGATTTCTCTGACACTGAGATGCTCTGTGACATTGGGAAGTATATGTAATAGTTTTGTCTTAAAAGCAGAATAAAACGGGTAACTTCACACCAAAAAGGAAATCTGTAAATCTGTAAATGAAATATCATATTGTGTGTAATCACTGTGTGTGCAAATCAATATTGTGTATAAAACACATGGTGTTGACATACAAGAATCACAAAGTCACACATGCTGCACAGGCACAGTCTCTGCTTTGAGACTTTATTTTGTTTTTTTTTTGCAAACTTTGAGCTAAAAAATGTAATGTCTTGGATAAGTATCTGCAGTTTGCAGACTGGGGGATATGAATTGCTTGGATGGTAAAGATTTAAAGCATTGATTATTCTTATGTTAAAGATTTTTCATAGTTAATTTCTGAATATAGATGTATACATTTAGCATGCATATGGGGAAAAGCAAATACAAGCATTTCTTTTTTTAATGCTCATTACAAAAGCTATGTCATCATTCCACTCCTAAAATTTGTCATTCAGTATATCTAATGACAAATATATTCTAGCAATAGTTTAGATTTTGGAAAAAAAAATATTTTCAAATTCATATTCTTAGCATTTATGCTTACAAAGATAACCTTGTAAATGAGAACTGATGCAACAGTGTGTTATACTAAGTGCCATGAGGAATATTGTATTTGGTGACAACAGAATGCTTAAAAACATATAAGCGGTTAGATTCCTTCAGTTAATGTCACCTCGTTCACCTTTTCACATAGCATTCAAGGTACAGTATTACAAAATACTAAAAAAAAAAAAAAAGAAATTATGTTATATCGCAATAGAAATTACTATGCCGCGAAAGCATATAAGGAGCTCTTGTAAAAACAGACCCAGTAGGAACCACCAGGGCAGACTTTTGAATCTCTGCAGACTCCTACTAATTGCAAATCAAATGTGCACTCATGCTAGGCAGACAGACAAAACAGTAGCTGGAAGAAAAGCACAATGGATCTGCGTTTCTCTCGAGAATTAACTTTGAAACATGCCTAAGGCCGTGGCTGCAAGTAGCCAGAATTCCTAAGCAGTGCAACACAGCTAGTGTGCCTCTCCAGCAACCCTGAACCGTTTCCAAAACTTTTCTGGAATAGCAAAAGCCCTCACAGTAATGACCCCCGCTCGCCAATGCTCACAGCTTTCCTTTACGAGCACCACAGCTCATCTGTATGTTTTATCTGCGCTGGATATTGAAAATCATATGGCAGAGTCAAGTAAATATGAGCATTTCTTGTGAAAATAAATAGCAACGGGCTCCCGCCTCGATGGAATTATTCCCGTTCGTAGTACGTTTGGTAAAATGGGCCGTTTCATCTCAGATTGATCAAGCCTGTTTACATGGGGAGGTGCAGCTGTGTTTGAGCACGCTGGCCCCCAGCCATGAGCTAGTTTGCTTGGTAGCTTGATCTGATTCCGCTGCGCTCATCCAGTCACAGGGGTCCTGCTGAGGAGGTCCTGTTTCCTCGTGCCCCGTGGTGCCCTCCTATAGCCAAGAGGTTTCTAGATCGGATTTGCTCTATGGCCACTGGCTTTGGTTAATGAGGAGCTTGTTCACGATGGCATGAGCCAACCCCAGATTGCAATCAACCCAGGTGCTACAAAGAAATGGAGCTCCCTAATGCAGGATTTTGTTCTGGTGGCTGTGCGTTTTCTCTAATCTCTTGTGTCCCCAAAGAACGTGCCCCGGTAAATTGATGCATCAGGGGCTTCTGTTTCCTTAGCCCTTTTCCTTTCCTTTCAGGTAGGCCCTTGGTTGTTACGGGCACTAGTTCAGTGTGTCGGCTCAGCGTGCTCTCTGCTGGTAATATTGCACTCCCTATCAACCTGCAATGGAGCCTGCCGTGGGGGTAAGGCAAGTCCTGTTTTTCCAATATTGTATGTTTTCTGAGGTTTCTATGCCTCCATTTCATTATTTACGATGTGATGGAAGTGTACTTTCTACTTAAATAAATGAAACAATATTGGAAAAAAAAAGGACTATTACCCTGTTAGTTTTCGGAATGGAGCTGGATTTTGTCCCCATGAGTTTTCCACCATTATCTCCATGGGTTCTTCTCCACCTCCTACCTCATTGGTCCTGGTGTAGATGTGGACGCTACCACCTTCCCTGAGCTCTGCCATCCATTTCAGAGCATGTCTGGCAAAAGAGATAGAAGGATGGTAGCATCCCGTTCACGTTAGAACTAGATTATTGCTGCTTGCGCTGGTGAGGTTGTGCCAGGGCAGTGATGCTGCGAAAAGGTAGCAGGGCGAAAGTCCAGTAGACCAATATAGACTAGAGGATGAGTTCAGGCTCCATCCCAACAAGCTGACGGAGAAGTGGTATGTCACCAGCAGAACACGTGTGGAGCATTGCCCAAAGAGCCAGCAATCACCAAGGGGTAACTGCATTTTATGAATCTGAAAAAGGAAAGGCAAAAGGGAAGCAATGAACAGAACTCCCTGAGCACTCAGGACATGGTGTTAACATGCAGAGCAGTTTTACACGCACAAGCCTGCTTTCCTAACCTCTTATTCAGGTGAGTAAGCCAGCTAAATTCAACAGGACCACTCCTGTGAGGTGAATTTGGATAATGAAGAACTGGCAGAATTAGGAAACAGCTTTATCAGTGATGCCACTATGCAGGAGTACCTAACTTTGGTGCTTGGCTTTAAGTAGCCTTCTCGGGTTGTTCCTAATGGCCATCCTCACAGTGCAGCAGTTTTTCAAGCAAGATTATTTTTCAGTGCAGGAAAAACACATAACATTCATTGAAAATGCATCACACTGCTTTAAATTGTAGCCTTTTCTAGGGTATTGAAAGATGAGCATCAGTGAGTTGAACTGGGACAGCTGATGAGTTTGCAGTCCCCAGCTATCATTTGCACTGCTTCCTCAGAGACCGTCCCCCCACTTCCCTCACCATAAGGACCAATTTAACTGCTGGTGCAGCAGTTTCTGAACTGGTGTGGCTTACAGCCCTGCATATTAACGTATACAGAGATCATGCCCGACATACCATAAAGCTCAGCATGGAAACGGTGAGAATTTGATGATTCACAAGCAGTTTAGCTGTTGCTGTCACACAGCAGAAGGATGATGGTGGTAAGCCAGCCAGCCCTCCCAGGGTAATCAGCCAGCAATTCTGACTTAGACACCTAAGCAAACCAGAATAGCGCTCATATTCTCCTGGATTTTTAGGATTGTTGTCATTCAGGATTACAGCTGTGTTATCAACAGTTAAATCAACCCTAGCTTCTTTGGCGAAAACAGATGGAAACAAAGGAATAGAGAAACTTCTGTAAGTTCTGTTTACTGTTCTCCATCACCTCCACCTCAAATATCTTCTCTGAGTTAAGATAGCATAAACACATGGCTCGTCCGAAATTCACCTAAAGGGTAAATGTCTTCATATGCTTCATTTAAGCGCGTAAACCTCCATGGTTTACCAGCTCGTGCCAGCTGCAGTGTCTCCTCCCTGCCATGCTTGCTCAATCACAGGATGAACAACTGCATGTTTCCATGTGGCGGAAGTCATGAGCTAGGACATTTCTTGAGTCTCTTGGTAATGATCTCCTACATTTCTCCAAGAAGTACTCCTGAATTTTCTCATGAAAGCTAATTTGGAGAGAAAAAAGGCTTTGCTTCAGCTCATGGATCTGAAGTTAACAGGCTTCTCAGTTCTTTCAACCAGTTAAACAAAAAAGATGTTCTTCTCTTCGCTTCCTTTTCCATCATACACACCAGCCATGACAGTTATTTAGATTCTTCCTCAGGAAGGAAACATACAATATCACTCTGGCATCTTAAACAACGCAAAATATATCATTCAAAAGTAATCATTAGCAAAACACTATTTAGCTAGTGGCAACTTGCAAATATTCCAAAGTTTGAATTAATAGCAGCAAGAATGGGAAATGAAATCATTTATTATTCTTGAGAGCCAATTCTGTACACTTTTTATGCCTTGAAACTACTTTCTAATCTTATTATTTCAAAAATAATGACCTAGTCTTATTATTCCCTTTTTTTTCCTAACCTATCAAGCCTTAAGTATGTTGGTTTCAAAATGGTTTGAACAAAAACTCATTAGAATTATATGCTCCATCTGTTTTTCTCATTGGAAGCTTTATAAAATGCTCCTTCAAATAAATCAAAGATAACTATGTGAAATGCTCGAGTAATGTACTTGTTTTGTTTTGTTTTGTTGCTTACTCTTTGCAGTTAAAAAGTGCCAAGGAATTAGCAGAAATCAATGGGCATGATGAATCTCAGGCAAATGTAGGTACATCTATATATGTATAGATTTAGAGATATATGTGCATGCTTATGTTCTTGAATTTAATATTTATGTCTTAGTGTTAAAGCTGATAGAATGGCTGAGTGACTTGCACATCAGGTTTGAAATGCCTGGTTTTGTTTTTTTTTTCCTGAAGTCACAGGTTCAAATCCCAGCAAACTTCATTTTGAGGTAGATAAATTGAGTTCCATGCAATTTACTTTGTGGGATTTATTTGGATGAGACTGTAACAACCAATGTCCTACTTGCTGTATGTGGGTGTTAAAGATGCCATGGAAACAACTGCAAGAGAAATGCTTTGCTTTAGTGTCCTGTCCAGCATTACTCAACCTACAAAGTTATACTGTTTGTCTCTATGGCTGCCACCTTGCAGCTGAGCAAGTTTGGCTATAATTCAGTTCTGTGTGAAGTGATTCATATATGTGTATAATTTGGAAACAGCTCATTTGCACCAAAGGGCTAAATTAATTCCTTGAATTATTACTTTGCCCAAAAAATTTTAAAGGACTTGTTAAGGTCGTGTTTTGTAAAACTTACTGCCAATAAAAATGCTTCTATTATTCCTTTAATGATTGCAGTCAAAACAGCAATTTAAATAAGGTGAGAGGAAAAAAAGGGAAAAGTATCCTGCTATGCTTATAATCCAAAATATGCAGCTTTATGCTTTGTCATAGGCATATGAAAATTAAAATTGATTATACACAATGTTTTTGTCCTAGCTGAGAGAACTGATAGCAGCCTGAAAACTAATATGTTTTACCATCTTTTCTAATCAACTTGAAGAGTTGTCTAATGGCACAGCCAGTTTTATTTTAAACCTGAGAGGGACTCTCAAATTTAGAAAACTGCTTTGCAGTGAGGAAAGGTTACCCTCTCTTTTTTTAATCCTTTCTTGAGCTTCATTCATTTTGTTCTAATTCCGCAGTGAAGTCGATAGAGCCTCCATGGCTCTCAGCATTCAGACAGGAGACATTCAATATTGTCTGATAGCCCCAACCACCCTGCAGCTGCAGCCTGTCAGCACGACATGTTGTTGGCCCTCTGAAAGATTTTGCAAACCAAAACAAAGAAGTATTTTCAATGATCTTGAAATGATCACATTGTTGCCTAAAAACTCTTCCTAGAACAGCTGATTGCAAGTTTTCTAAGGCAACTTAGAAACTTAAGACTTTCTCACCTTTCTCAGGGAACTTGGAAAATTTGCTTCCTCTCAAAAAATGTGGATGAAACAGTGTTTTTCAAGATACAAATATTTTAAATGAGAATTATCTAAATGCTTCACCTTTATCATTCTCACTCTTCAGGATAAAACAGAAGGACTTAAAAGTTCTACTTTTATATAAAATAAAGATCAAAACAGTATTATATACAACATATAAACTGTATACAGAGAGGACGTTTCAGAAGGTCATCGTCATGTGTAAAAATATTTCAGAATCATCTGTTAATTGTAAACTTTTCAAAATGTAAAGTTTTGTCCCAGTTTGCAGTTGTAGTAAATGTTGAAACGCCTAAGTTTTCCATAGGATTTAAATTCTATTTTCTGCCCATGAAGCTCTGATATCAAATTAGACTCCTAAGAACAGAAGTCAATATTTGAGTTAATGGTGAAGAAGGAAGCTAGACAGCTGCAATTATCAAGTCACAGCTGCAGTCAGGTATTTAACAATTATGCCACCAGGAAATCAGAGGAGTTACAGCAGCACAAATGGAAATAGAGTACTAGTGGAAGAGCATTTACTACAGTAGTGAACTTTGTAAAATGGAAGTTAAGGCACCTTTTAAACAATTGTCATTTGTATTGAATATGTAGCAAGACACCTTGCAGATTCCTTCCACTCATCTATTCTCAGCAGACTTCATGGTTCTTGCCCTTGGCCAGTGTGTAAATCTGGAATGATCAAAGAAAAAAAAAAGGCTTGATTGGTCCTGCGTGGTTGTTAGTGAACTGTGATGCATATAATGGGATTAGGACATATTTTTTTACAGTTGACAGGTTGAATTCAGAAAACGAAATACCTTTACATGCAGAGCAATAGTGGGAGGTGTTGGTAAGGAGAAATGACAATGTATGTCTCTACACTGAACTCAATCTAATCTTCACACTATGGTATATTTAGATTACTTGCTCTGCAGAAAATCAGGATCCTAAAAAGGATGGTATGGAAGTTTAGACACATTGCATATGGATAAGAAAGTCCATACTATAATCTTAAAATGATTATTTGCAGCAGTTATCAGGCTTTGTGAAGACGCTGGTCTCTATCATCTTTTACGTTAAAAATTATTGTTTCTAAAATAAAACTTGGAAAAACTTGGCAATATTTTTCATAGCTAAAACATATATAGATGAAAATATATACTTGGCCTTATCTTAGCATGGCTTTTACTTTTCTGTTATACCATCCTGAAAGATAACATAGGAGCTGAGATTCCTTTGGAAACAGAAAAACATTGCTCCTGAAATGTGCCAATGTGTAAAACATGCAGATCTTGAGAGTTTTTCTCTCTCTCTCTTTTTTTTATTTTTTGTCGGGAGAATTGAGCACATTTAATTACCACGCTCCCTGCCATGACAGTACACACTCAAAACTGTGGGAAAAAATGTAGAAATTTTAGTGTATTGCAGGTACATCAGTTATTTCCAGTAGCCAAAACCATCTTAGAAGGCTCTGTAAACTGTCATAAGGGTGTTTCATGTGTGACTTGCCAGGTACATGCGGTAGTATTTGTTGCAGTTTGCAACAAATTTGTTGCAGATTTGTGGCAGGAAAGCCACCATTAGGTTCATGTGCCCAAAATCCTGGCCTGGTATTAACAGACATTTCAGCACCCAGCACTGCCAGAGGTACTGTCACTGCATGCTCATTGCTTTCAGCACTAAGTTTTAGGAAAATACATCTTCTTGTTTCTAATCTGTGCCCCTGTTAATTTCCTCTTCATTGCTGAATATAATGCTATTGAATCCACACGTCTGTCTTAAATGAAGAAAAAACTAATGACCAATATACAATTCTAATTTCAGATATAATCCTCTTCCAGGATATGCTCAGTGTTTTGGGACTTGATTAGTCCCACCTTGAAAAAACAAATCTTGCTTAGGAGGCGTTTTCAGGTACAAAACATTTTACAGAGTAAAAAGCTTAAACACAGGCTTTGTGATTTAGCATATAAATGCAGTTTATTCGTATTCTTTTTTATATAAATTCAGTGTGTTTCTGTGGAGTCTCTTATGTAAATGGTAATTCCGTGTTTCATCGGGGACCTCCTTTTGCTCATTGCTAAGTTCAGCAAATTTAGGACACTGCCTGCAACTATTACCCTATACACATGCACATATTTTTGGTGAATATTTGAGGGGTGAGAAAGTCAGTCTACCTCTCTAATGGAGCAGGAAAGATTTTGAATCCAAGACTCAATTTAAAAGTTCTCGGTGATCTTCCAGGAGATTTCCAGGAGTTCCTATAAATAGAAGATAGCAAATAATCTCTGCCTTCGGGATAAGTACCATGAAACAGTAGTCAAGAGTATCAGTCATCTAGATTCAGAACAAAGGAAGACATGGGGCATGGTCACCAAAGCTTTTTGGATGACCAGAGAATATTGCAAGATAAAATCCTCTGTTGAAGTCAATACAATTCCCATCAACTCTAATTAAAGTCAGGAGTTCACCAAGGTATTGAGGGGTTACAGGCACCTATATTTCAGATGGAAAGAAGTGTTTTAGTGTTTTTTCCTTGGGCTTTTTACCATTTTTCTTTTCACCTTGAGTTTCATTGTTTGAACAAAGTAATTAATTTGACCTCATTTGTCCATCTCCCTCCAGTTGGCATCTCCAGCAGCCTGGACACTATATATATATATATATATATTTTTTTTTTTCCAGAAATAGAATCAATAATATTAAGTAGGGATGAATTTTTCCATTTGAATGCTTGAAGCTATTATCAGGGCATTTCTCAAGTTCAACCAAGCATCTTACATTTGATGTTGATCCTTCCTTTAATTTTCCCCCTTCGTTTCTGCTTTTCAAGTAATTACTAAAGGATCCCTAACTCTGAGGAGGAGTATACCCAGGGTGAAATATTTGAAACATTTCACTAAATTGCTCACCTCATGCAATGCTGAAAGCAATCTTATTTCTTACTACACCTTAGTCTTCTTTTCTCACATGCTATCAGTTAATCCCTGATGATCTTTACCAGAGACAAGTGAAGACAGCTCCTAAATAAGGCTCATATTTGAGATCAGCCAGCCAGAGACTTAAACGATGAAACTCTCCTGGTTTTTGGAGAATTCTGTAATTCCACCAGGCTCCCCAGGACTCGATTCTTCTTCTTCACTGCACAAATCTTTAATGGAAGCACCCAAAGGTGCCTGCTGTGAATATCCCATGTATACCAGTATACATGCTGGTTCCTATCTTCCAAAGGATGGGGCTGCTTCATGCTATTTATGTGACTGCCTCACACTGAGCCAGGTGAGATTAAAAGACTTTAAGCACATGCAGAAAAGTGGAAGGTGGTAGAGATCAAGTCCTGCATGACTCGTCCCAATGTTTCAGGATTCCAAGACAAAAGTTGGTCATCTTTAATGACAGAGAATTCCAAGAAAGTGATAAACTGATTGCTGGCGTTTTTGCTTTCTTTTTTTAAGGTTTACTCTTCAAAGAACAGCACAGGCTCCAGATACAAATGCCTATAAAGGACTTTGGGAGAATTTGGGTCCAACAGTTACAGGCCAGAAAAGACTCTGTCAAGAACCTGCTTACATCAGGAAATTGTTTCAATTTCTTCTATATTTGATTTTCCCAGTTGCCTAGGGTTTGTGTGCTGTGAATCTCAGTCTCAACAGGCAGGAACGAGTCTTCACTGAGATCCTCGATGCATGCAGGAGCATTTCTGGAGCATGTTAGAGTGAGTGGATGCTGCAAAAACTGAAGTGATGACAGCTGAGTGCATTTAAAGGGAATGAGGAGAGGGTGCTGGCAGCCTTCCTG